GTCACAATGATATTTTTTATACCGTTTCTTGTGACCGTTGTCCACCATTTCTGCCCCAGCTGAACCTACAATGAATCACTGCCACAAAGGATCTACTGGACTCATCCTTAAAATAATGAAAAAGGAGAAATTTGTTAATTGTATTTGAAGGAGCGTTTGAAGAAGTCGTGAATTCAGACAGACATCCACCGCCCTGACGTTCTGGGTCTTTTTAGGATGGTAGCCGAGTTTAGGGTTTGGGGTGTGTAATGTTTCCCTCCAGCCTTGGTCCATCCATGTGAACTGGTGCTGAGGGGTGTGCTCGGTTCTGGGTAGTGTCATTTGCTTGATGCTGGGAGTACTTTGTGTTTTAACTAATCTTGCGAAAATGAACCAAAACTGCTTCTTCTATTATATCATATTTGGTTTCAGAGTATTACTGCTTTTATTAAAAGGTGAACTGCGCTCTGTTACATGATTTTTCCATGGGAGCAACAAATCGCTGTGCTGGGTTGGGTGCAAGGGTGACCAACAACCCCTAGATTAATTCCTGAAAGACAGAGACAGATGTATATAATAGTAAAATCAAAAGTGTTTATTTTTTATTTTTTATCCTGAATGGAAATAATACAGAATAGAGAGCCCCAAATTGTAAATTACACCCATAGCTAACACTCACACATGATCAGGATAATTACCGAATTAAAATCAATTGTTCATTAGCATGAGGTGCACCTCTGGTTAAAAAAAAACAAACAAACAGAAAAACATTCATGTTTTCTGTTGATCCTGCTTACAAATTAATAACGTTACCTCTTCTTGTATTGCTTTTTCCCCTCAGTATAATACCTCCAGATTTTTTGAGTCTGAAGCTGAGGCTGCCAATGATCACTGCTGCCACCCTCTGGTTTAGTGGGGAATTGTTTGTTCCGCGAAATATCCCAATTCTCTTTTTTTTTTCTCTCTCCAGCTTTTATTGTCATTACACTGTCACAAGTACAGAACAACGAAATTAACTCCCTGTATTTTAAACCCACCCCTTTTGGGAGCAGTGGGCTGCTATTGTGCGGTCCCCGAGGAGCAGTGTGGGATTAAAGAGGAACACCGTTTTTTTTACATTGGCCCCTTGATTTTACGTAATAACATCATGTTCTACTCACCCATATGAGTTTTGTGTCATTTGCAGCTGTTCTGAAGATATTCCGTTAGGTTATATCCAAGTAACGTCTTCCTATGTGCGATCGACTTGAAAGTACAAACTAAACTGTTCATAATTTATCATTTATGGTACGGCAGCATTCGTAACAGATGACGTCATACACACTCCGCTTTATTTAAACAAATATATAAATGTAAAAAATATAACCGCGGATGTCTGGGGGACAGTGATTCGCCTACATGTTATGAATGCTGGCGTACCATAAAGAATAAATTATGAACAGTTTAGTTTGTGCCTTCAAGTCTTGCCCATAGGAAGACGTTACTTGCATATAACAAAACCAAATATCTTCAGAACAACTCCAAATGACACTAAACTCATATGGTTGAGTAGAACATGATGTAATAACGTAAAATCAAGGGGCCAATGTAAAAACAAAAAAAAAAAAAAAAAAAAACGGTGTTTCCCTTTAAGAGCCTTTACTCAGGGACCCAGAGTGGCAGTCTGCTGAATAGGGGCTTGAACTCAAAACTTCTGGATTGCGAGCCCCATGCCCTAACCACTAGGTCGCCACTCCCCACACAATTCTCACAATTTAAGAGTATCTTCCAAAAAATTCCTGTGTCCAGACTATGATCTGGATTATCACCAACATTTAATAAATTGTTTTTTGGCACGAGGTACACCCCTGATAAAATGTCCATCCATAACTTTTAAAGGTATCTTGTAAACAGAAACATAGACAAGCACCCAAACTTTTCTAAAAACATATCCTCTTTGGTTATGATATATTGCAGTTATGCTACCAACTTATCATTACGTTTTACATGACTTTTAACCAAACCCACATTGCTATATTGAAAATGTTTGTAATATTCTCATCTTTAATGTTGTTTTTCTGTGGGTGTTAGCAGTAAATCGTATTTAACGGAGGAGACCTGTAAGTATCAGTGTGCAGTTACTGAAATAATCAAAATGTTCAATATATTATATTTTATTGGATTTTTCCACATCTACATTAAAACCAGATGTTTACATAGACTCTGTATCATTGAATGTGGAGCCTTCTGTCAGGACTCCTGTCTGTGTGTTTGTGTTTCTGTGTTTGTCTCCCTTCCTCCACCAGGAGGTGCCTGGTTCTGGTCCACCTCCTCACACACCTGCTGATGGTTACCTGGTTAACAAAGTGTTCTTAAGCTGCTGACTGCCACTAACTCGATGCCAGAGTGTTTGCCAGTTTGGGGAAGTCATCCTGCAAACTGGATTTTTCGGACCTTCTCTCCCTGGAAGGATCAAGTGAGCTTCAAACTGAGCTGGGGATACAAACAGGAGGTTTGGATCCACTTTTCCCCAAAAGGTCGTTTGAGTTTCACACTGAACAGGGATTCATCTGCACCACAGCCCGTTCAAGTACCACAGGAAATCTAAGTGGCAGTCAGCTTCTCCGTTCACCTGCAAACGACCGCATTCTGGGTAAACCCTGTTCCGCCCTCCACCGAATCAGACAAACACTGGAACAAAAGCATACAGACTGGAGTCAAAGATTCAACAACTTCTTTGGAAATGTGAGTCAGCAACCAAATCCTCTTCTCCAAGTTCACAAATCAAATTTCCCACTGAGCCTGAACTAATCGCTGTGTCTTCCCCTCACTTTTCAGTTCCGGTTGAGCAGTGTTCAGAGCAACACTTCACTCTGCATTATGTCTTCAATAAACCTGTTAAAACTTTTCCCTTTTTCTCTCTGAATTGGTTTCTCTGCATGTGGGTCCGAGCTCTTGATAAAATCATGTCACCTTCAGGCATTTGGAAGTCACACAGAATCATGAAACAGACAGAAGGATCAAACCAAATGCGAACAGAGGTGTCAAAAGTACAGATATTCTTTACAGCAGTGGAAGTACAGATATTTGTGTAAAAAAAAAAAAAAA